GTTTCTCATCTGGTGTTGGTAGATGGATTCTTTGAGTATCCTTCACTGCTTCTCACCCATTTCATCTTCAAACAAGTATCTCAGTGCTTTCTTTAGGGTTGATCCTCATGTATGTGAGGACAGGAGAGCCCAAAAACTTCCTCCTATCCCTGGTTACATCTTAATTTTTTAGTGATTTCTCATGTTAGGTTGTACTTATCTTTGGGGATGGTGGTGGACTAGGTGGTCTCCTAGCCCTTCTGGACTTAGGACCTACTGAATGATTTCATACAGAAGAAGGGATTTGGGTTTAATGATAAAAATCCAAAACTCTTATATGCTCTTTCTCTGGGCACTGGGTTCATGGTTAAAAAACCTTGAGAGGACCCATGATCTGTATGTTTCTTCGCTGAATTGTATTCTCTCTCTTTTTTTAATTTTTTTTTTTTCCCCTCTAGTTAGCTTTCTATAACTAGTTTAAAATAGTTTTAGAAGGGAAAGTTTCCAGATAAAACTACCTCCTGGGATAGAGGGATCCTGCTGCTTGAAAGCATGGTATTCAGTACTAGAGCAAAGGATTTCTGAAACACTATGGTAAAAGTTGGAAAATCAGAAGACCAACTATGTCACTCATCTTCCTGGAGCTGCAAATGGACATAATTCTGGCTCTTGGCTTTTATTTTTCTGAATTTCATTACCGCTTGAATTTTTCCTAGTGCTTTGCCAAATACATCTGTGATTTAGTCCAGGTCAGGCTTGTATCTGCTAGATCTGTGTAACCTCATATCTTTTCTGCTGTTTTGAACAAGAGAAGTGTCCCAATACTGACAAGGTACTGCGTGTCCCAGAGCATCACAGGATGCCAACTCCAATATCACACATTTATAAACAAGCAATTCTGTGCCTTTTCCATGGCTGCTCTTCAACCTCAAAATTAGTCTCCTGGTGTACTCTCAAATAAACCTCACAGCCTTCATTCAAACCTATCTGACTGTGAAATCTCAAAAAAATATCTAGCCTACAGGTAAGCTGCTTCTCAACTGCTCAGCATGCTTGTTTTTGCTATCTCATCATCTTGTTACAACTTGTCTATGTCCACCCTAATCTGTTATTATTTCGTGTGGCAGACTTTTGTGGAAAGGTTTTTCTCTGCCTTCTGTGGCTATTACACAATGGAGACCCAATCCACAAGATCCTGAGATGCAGCAATATAAATCCTAACAAGTTGCAAGGAAGAAGGAGATATAATATCCATCACAAGGCAAACATCTGCCAGGGAAGGTGTAGAAATTCGCCTTGGAGCAAGGAAAGGACTAAGGAGCCTATTGAACTGCCTGCCCTGTTCTATGTGATATAAAGTTAATCTAAAACTCCCAAGTAAAGCAGGTAAAACTGAGATTTGACCAGACCTAGAAAGAAGGAGATTATCCTTCAAAAAGGAAAATTCTCTGGGGCAGGAGCCAGCACTGCAATCTGGATATTAAAATTGCACTTTTCCTGTGTCCTGGGACTATTACTGAACTTCCAGCCTACCCCATAAAAAGAGCATGTTGAAGGGTTTCTTGCTTGATTTCCAGTAAGATACTTACTTCTGAAAACAGATACATAAGTTACCCTGAGCAGCTTCACATACGGTTAATTTTAAGAATAGCCTTTTGATTTTATGCATAGTTGGAAGAAAGTAGGGGTGGTAAGAAGCATATTAGGTCTTCTAATTGAACTGCCTTTGTTCTTAATTAAAATGCTTTGTATCCTGTGTGAGCCACCTCACCCACAGCACTTAGGTTTTAAGAGTAAGGTATATTTATCTGAACATCCTTACACAACTGTAAAGGTATGAAAGCCTAGTGCAGACAATGGAAATCAATGAGAATGTTCCAACTAATATCTCAAATGAGTCTGTAACTGGGATTAAACAGAGAGGTTGATGCATATCAATTAAATTCAAATTATGTAGGTGCAACAATTGTTCCTTTGTTAGTCATTTTTGGTGGCTTGAGATTTATTATTAGGCAATCAGATGTATTCTCTCAGCAATTTCAGCAATACCAGAAGGGGTTGTTATCACAGTATTTTACTGTACCATTAGTATCAACCCAATGACATAATTAAATGTTCTTCCATATTTTAAAATTTGCTGAAGTTTGGTTTCTAACCTGCGTATAAACTCATCTTTGTAAGGTCAAGGACCATTTTGCAGGTCTAGGGGGCCAAGACTACTGCAAGCACAGTAGGATAATGAAGTTTGATTTGTCCCTGGACATCTATGAACAGCTCTATGAGCTCCTTGATCATCTGGTAGGCTACTGGTGCCTACCAGAGCTGGAAAATTGCCTTCATATGTCAAGAAATCCTCCTGCAAGGACTGTGCTTACAGCTTTGATTGGCTGATGGGTTTTACGTCATGGGAAATAATAGCAAGTTAGCACATTTTTTTAATGCTGTCTGCTGCCTTTTCCACAAATCACTGCAGTGAAGGCCTGAAATGCTCCATATCTCAAGGGCTATGACTTGTCATGGCACTAAGAACCATGGAAGCTGAAGCTTACTTGATTGAAGCAAATCCCCTTTCCTTGCTATTTCATACTTAATGAGTGTGATCCCCTGTGGTGGTCTAAGTCAAGAGCTCAGAGAGCAAGCCAAACTATGGACTGAAAGTCTCCAGCACACCTCTCAGAGGAAGATGCTAGCTTCAGTGAGTCATGAGGAATTAAGTGACGAGGAATGCATAGAATGAAGTGCTGAGGAATGTGTCCCCTGCTCTTATGAACAGGAGGAGACAATCTGCTGCTGCCCACTGATCTCACCAGATATGAAGGACTGTGTTGTGCAAGACCTCATGGAGAGGGAAGACCTAAACAGAAGAAGAGTTGATTCAGGACAGAGTGAAAAAATGAGTAGAAGAGGACTTTGTTCAGTAGCTCCTTCCTCACCACAAGAGCCCACAGATGAGGAAATTCCTACAGAATTATAGCAGGCAGTGTCTTCAAACCACTGTATTGGCCAACATATAGACATAACAGAGAAACAACTTTCAACCTCTCATAAACTGGCATAAAATTGAACCAGCAAGGTAAGGCTGGAAAAATAAGACATAATGCCTGACACCTCTCTGATAATAGCAGAGCCTGTGCATGGGGCAGTTCTCCAAATATTTGCTTTGCTTAAGCAGCCAGTTACTTCTTGATGCCATTTGACTTCTACAGGATATAGCTTTAATTTTGACCCTTCACTAGGACAGATTTAGTTTCATATAACTTTGCTTTTTTCTCTGATTACTTTCACATTCATTCAACTGCCGTATGGTGCTCTATGGGGACAGAAAAACTGCAAAAACAGAGTGAAGATCAGGGTGTTGGGGCAAGAGCAGAAGATCACCCCCCTCTCTGCAGTGCTACTGGTGGATTCTTCTGAGGTTACACAAGGATGCTCAAGATCCCCTGATGCTGAGTACGTGGGAAAATTTTTTGCCTCCCCATATTGTCCCCCTAGACTTGATGTATTTTCTGCCATTTACAATCCATGTTAAGAAACAACTCGGGCCTACATAAGTCTGACTTTGACACACATGACCAGAGGACAGGTTCTTTGAGGATTATAGAAAGAACCTCAACTGTTAATAGAAGCCTAACACATGATTTTTAGATGGTAAAACCAGGATGAGAAGAACCTACTCTCAAGGTAGAAGTCTTGGTGCTTCTTCGGTTGCACGGTAAGCCAACCCACCTTGTTAATCTGGCAAAGCTCCTCCAATTTTTGTATTTCCCAATACGTCATTGGTATCAACACACATTACTCAATAGCCCATTTCCATCAGAGATTAACAACAAAATGCCTCCAAGCCTAAAAAATATTGTCTCTCAAAATTATCTTCCAGTAACTTTCTATCTTCCACACATATTGACACTCAAGTGAAAAGTTATGGCCCAAAATACTGTTAATTCCATGCCACTCCAAGAAAGCTCTGGGAGGGCTCTGAGCACATGGACTGCCCTATATGCAACTGCCCCAGTAGTTAACCATCTCCTGAAAGGGAGACAAAACCAGTCTTCATTTTACTAAGAGGAAATGAGGAAAAACTTAGAACAAGATTTCTCAGGAGAAGTCAGAGTCAAAATAAAAACAGACCTTGTTTGCTGTCAGACATCCATCTCTGAGCTAGTCACTGTAGGACCTCTTTACAGTCAACAAAAAGCCATCTTGCAAGGGCGATTCATTTAATACAGATGTCCAAGCAGGCCAGTCGAATCAGACCCCTGAGCATGTATTTCTTTTTGTTGACTATAAAGGGAGTCAAGGTTGACTAGCTTTAATGTGGGTGACTACACTGTTCATGTCAAACAAATCCTACTCCTGTTATTTATGTCCTGACCACAACATTCTTTCCAGGCATACAGCATGTGACAGCTGAACAGGGAGTACTCTGTTTGCAGAGTCAGGCATTGCAAAGCTACAAAAAGGCTTAATGAATTTCAAGTGCTCAATCTTTGCTCACCACTGCTTGTAAGGAGACAACATCATTAAGTCTTTAATTACATAACGGTGACATATTTTTACAACACAAAGTCTCATTGTTCTGTTCGAACGAACAGTGCTACAGGGAAGAAATGTTTATATGGTGAATGAAGCTGGTGTTTTCTGCAGGACTTTGATGGAAGGAGAGAAAAATCTGAGTGTCACCTGTACACTAATGAGATCAGAGTTATGAAAGTGTCCCTACCTGTGTGTCTCCCTTATGCACACAGAGTAGGAACTCCCTGGTGCTCCATCTCCAAGGGACTATACTGGGGGAAAGCAGCAAGTTTCCATGTTACTTCTTGGGAACTGGGATTAAGGAGAGGAGTTGAAGACACTGCATCACTTCTGAGTCCCAGTACTATGCCTGAAAATGTAAGTAAGTCACCTAAGGAAAATTATGTAGTCTTTGCAAACTGGTACCATGGAAAGACAGCTATTCAGCCTGTGAACTCCACCAAGGACCTTTAAATGAATGCATTGAACAGTGATGAAGTTACACTTACCCTGGCTTTATTTCAGGAGGTTTAGGTAAGGGCTTCAGAAAGCCTTTTTTCCCAACTAGCCAATATGTGTCCTCTACTCCTTTACCCTAAAATAAAAACAAAAATTTAGAAAAAGAGCAGCTTTCAGACCACCCTCTGCTCAATATATAACTTCCTCCCTGGGTTTCTGAGGGCTTCATACATATCCAGAGATAGAGCATGACTGGAAATCTTAGGGTCTCCTTCACAATGTTTCAGGGATGATTTGAATTTTATTACCCTAAAAAAAAAGGCCTTGTTCAAACTCATCTACAAATGACCCTCATTGATCTGGGTCATTGAAACTACACAGCTTAACAGAAATGAGAAACTACAGGATCTCTAATCATCTTATTTGGCAGCACTAACATCATTAATTAAGAGATTTTTACAACTGTTGCTGGGCTGAGTATGAGACTAATAACTTCCTCTCCCAGCACTGATGATTTAGCTTTTAAGGTGAGATGCACCTGATGAAATGTAGGCATCTATATCAGAATCAATCACCCTTGACTGGATGAGTGGAGGAAAACAGACGCTTCTAGGGCAACATTCATCTTCACATAAACTGGACCTTGAAAATAAATCAGGTTAATAATTTCCTAAAGTGCCAATTTATCTCCACTAACTATGTCAAGGTTTCTTTCCATTGACTAAACCTGGAGTAATTACCTCAGATCTCCACGTGCAGATATATGAACTCAGGTGAAATCATTCCACTTGTCATGAAAGATTGTTGAGGGACCTGGGGCCATATTCAGACCTCTTACTGTTGATGTTTAAGGCAAGCAAACCTCCTACCTCTTGAATATAGCCTATTGACTACATAAGGGGAGAAGTGATTTTTTTGAATTGTTTAGTGTTGTCTTGTTTGGACACTGTGAAAAGTAGCAGCTTCTGTCACAAGTGGACTACATAGAGTCCTAAATAAATACTTAGATCCAGCACCTACAGCTGATTGTTCGATCCCATGGTCCTTCAAGAATTACCTCATGTACTGAAACAACTGATGGTGACGATTTGGGAAGGATCCAGCAGAAGAGTGGTGGATGAAGGCCAAACGAGAGCTTGATATGAAAATTCCTTAATCAAGAAGATTCCCCAATGAAGCATTTCACACAGCCCTGGCCTTCTTACCTTCAGTTCTGTTTTTCCCCTAGGTACGATTTCATAGCCTTCATTTAGACTCCGAAGCGTATCCACTGTACTTTGGCTGACATGAATTCTGTAAGCTGGGAATGGAAAGCAAAACAGCTGGATGACTATACTGCACACACACTGAGAATTCCCCACTGCTTCATGCTGGCAAGGAAAAGTGTTCCAAAGCATGCAGGCGTGTAGCTGTGGGGTGTGCTCTATGTATAGTATGATGCTGCTGGATGGATCCTTCCAAGTAGGGCTGTAATGAGCACAGAGTGAAAGGAGATCTACACTGGGGACTTCCCGGAGGACACCAAACATGCTAAGTATAGAAGTCCAGCTCTTAATAAAGATGGTAAGTATTTTTTCAGCATCATTGCCATCTGGAATCAAGAATGCCATTTTTATCTATTTGCACAGCATAACTAGGCAGCAAGAAAGAAAAGAAAAATAACCAACTGTCCTGCTCCAGACACCCAACATCATTTGAAAGTTGGGATGAAGAGCAGAGAGATGGAGTTTGCAAGGTGACATAATGAAAATGTGGCTGTGCATCTCAATCCATCTGGGTTTTCCAACAACTGATTCCATCCAGAGCTGCCATTAACAGTCTATGAACAAAAAGAGCAAAGATGGAGATCTTTATTAAATTTCCATCTCCACCAGCTTGTTTTACAGTCCTTGCTGGAACTCAATGAAATTTGAGTTGGTGTGAACAAGCCAAGGAATATTTCTAAGACATTTTCCCCCAAAATAGTTTTGTTGTTGTTCTTGTTGAACTTTTGTTTCAAATCTGTCACTTGCGTTCCTTTCCCCCTTAAAGGATGCAGGATGAACCGATTAAATTTTTCATAGAATCATAGAATCATTAAGGTTGGTAAAGACCTCTAAGATCATCAAGTCCAACCGTCAACCCAACACCACCATGCCTACTAAACCATGTCCCAAAGTGCCACGTCTACACATTTTTTGAATACCTCCAGGCATACCTTTTTGCACAATAATCAGAAAGAAGAAAATCAGTTCAAATATACAGAGGAAGACCACACAGCTTTGAGCTACATTTCCTGAGACACTAACCTACAATCTTCCTATTGCTGTAGATCTCTATATATTTCCATTCATATATAATGATGCTGTTGTATCTGCAGTGCTCCTAGTCTCAGTGGGACTTGCATTTTCAAGCACCTAAACCTTGAGAATCTTCAAATACCTGTCTTGCCATTAGAAATCTGCTGTCAAAGTATTTTCTCCTTTCCACTGCTTTCCAAATGCAATGCATGCCTCTTAAAATAAGCCAGCCATAATCACAAGAAAGGCAATTTTCCTTAATTAATGATTAGCCTAATTGTTAGTCTTAATGAGTCTAATAAAAATCACTGGAGCTAGAAATGTGAGGATTGTATGAAAGAGGGAAAAAGCTCCAATGGGGCATGTATACTGCAACATATTTCCAGCCTGGCAAGACCTCAAGATTTTAATATTAAATATCACAAAGTTTGTGTAGCTGTAATCTAGCCATAATGGGTAATTTCTTAGAGCTGTTGAAAATATCAAAATGGAGACCAGAGATCAGATATTAAAATGTATGAGACATTGCCTTTGGAAGTAAACTTGTACTGACAGCCTGAACATCAAAAGCAAATTTAAAATCCATCCAAGGCTGTCCCTAGCTGTCCACTGTGTCATCCACAGTTCATCCACTGTGGTTTATACATCCATGTCTTAGCCAAGGACAGCAACAAACAGCAGAGCTGTGTACACATATGACTGAAACACAGGTAGAAGTTCCTTCCCCACCACCTCTTTTTACATGACTAGAAGCCTCCAGCCATGGGACAGTAGGAAGCAGCTGAGAGATGGTACTGTCTTACCTGCTGCAGTGCTTGGCTCTGTGCATGTAGACTATTTGTTAATTATTTTTTTTATACCTGGAAGTCTCAGGAAAATAAAGAACTTGAGGGGAAAATCACATGAAAATCAACCCATTAAGAAAGATATCAAGAAAGCCCAACAAGGAAGGGAAACAAGATTTTGTTAGGACCTGCCAATGCTTGTTTGTGGAGTTGTTACTGCTGATAATTGAACCCATCACAAATGATGCTCTTCATGTTGCAGGACATTGTTGCCTGTGGTCTGCTTTTCTCTCCAGCATGACGGAAGCGGTGCCCACACGTACTTCAACCCTTGCCTTGTTCTGGCCGTGACAGGTACGTGCATTGTTTTGCTGTGCAAGAACAGCTCTGAATTAAGGGTCCTCAGCACTGACTGAAAGCAAAATCCAGCCCATGTAGGAGACAAATCTAGGGCAAGATTCAAGTTCATTTTGGTTAATGGGATCCAAATCAAAGGACCATAGCTGGAAGGGAGGGTCTTAAAAGCTGACCTGATCTTCAGAGCTCTGATCTTCAGAGCTCTGATCTTCAGAGCTGATTCAATTCCAATGCTTATAACTAAAGATGCACGTTTCTTTGTCTCTCTTGAGAAGTTTGTCAACCACCCGCCGCAGGGACCATCCCAAATACTCACGCAGGCCTGTGGACTCCATCCGTGACGCCGTGTTCACCGTGTCTCCAAAGAGGCAGTACCGTGGCATGGTAAGCCCCACCACGCCTGCCACGCAAGGCCCTGAAAGACACATCATCTGTATAACCCAGAAGGTACCACCAAGGTTCAAGGGGTTCACCAACAAACAAATCTCACGCTCTCCTCTGATACGCAAAAACCTTGGGAATACAGGACAACATCTCATTGGCCTTGGTGCTTGCTATAAGTGATCAAAAATTAAGCATTGCTCTGGATTTCACACTGGTGTTTTATGCCTGAGAAATTTCTTGTGTGATAGGGCCTCAGTTCACCATCATCTGGGATAAATTTGTTCGGAGTTCACGCAATCTCAAGGACTATTAATCTCATTTTAAAAGGTCAGCTCTGACCTCCTTTTCCATCTGAGAGAAGTTCAGATTCTGTGAAATGCCCTGTGTCCCAGTGAAACAGGATTGAAAATAAGCCTTGGAAGTCCAGCGATGCTGGCAGCATGCTGGACCACCCCGTGTCCCCTCCTTGGAAAGGAAGACATCATTATCTCGCCTGTCTAGCCAAAAACTGTTTATTTTTCCTCTCTCTCATTCTTTAGACGAGATCCACTCCCTTCCAAAGTAGCTCCCGAAGAACCAGTGCCAAGTTCTCAGGGAGAGGTATGTGTGCAGGATTCACACGACCATGCACACACACACACACACACACACAGATAAAATGTGTGACAGCCAAATAGCACCAACAACCGTCATCTGGGGACTTGGGTTAGCTAATGTTTGGACTGTGCTCTGCTAAATTTCATCACCCACAATTTAAAATACCAAGCTTCCAAAAAAAAAAAAAAAGTAAAAAGAAAAAGGGGGAATTAAAAAAGAATGCACTCAGCAATGTAAGGTGGTGTGGGGCTTCCTTTAGAGAAAAGACAGGCCTCTTTGTATTTGCCATTGAATGCATTTATCTCACAGGTCTTTCTAGGCTCTGCCTGCCTTTTCAATTTCATGGTCCTTCTGGGTTAAGATTGAGCAAAACTGATACCTAGGATATCTTTTCCGATGCAAAGTTACAAGAGATGTGAATGTAGTACATCATCAACAGTATCTGAAATGATGCTATAGATAAGGTTTTTCATCATATAAAAAATTGTAGGTTAAAATGTTGTAATAATAATAATAGCCTAATTTAGAAGTGATCAGTTACATGTTTTAGGACGATGTAATTTTACTGTGATTTTACCCTTCTTAGTTACAAAAACTGATTTTTAATAGAGTTTTCCAGCTACATCTTAAGGGCAATGAAACTCCACAGCTGAAATTTGCAAGAACCCCTCTTGCTGTGACCTCTGAAAAGTTGTTGTTGCAGAGTCAAAGTAACAGGATTTTAATATAATGCAAACTGAGAGGTAAGATAGATTTTAACTCCTGCTTGATGAAGCATCACTTACTTAAAGATTAAAAAAAAAAAAAAAAAGAGAGGAAGAATATTTCATACCAGAAATGTTACAAGGACTTAAACAGCATGTCTGGGTCAAACACAGCATGCAGGGACTGCTGGAGATCAGGAAAAGCTGATTTAGTGGCGGGATTTTTTACTGCCAATGTGCCGTGCAACCTTGGATAAGACACTACCCCTCAGAATCTCTTCTAATTTAATTCCCATCCTTATCAGTACTCACTAAATTGGTTCAAGCCCTTCAGGAGAGGAGCTATATCCACTAGAGGAGGTTTTTTCAGGGTCAAGTCTTTAGGCACTTCTACAGCACAACTGTAAAGACACTGTTGTTACTATTGGGTCAAGGTCCTAATGCTTACCTAACCGGTCCCTAATGTGTGCACACTAATGTGGCATATGCGTAAAAAAGGGTCTTGTTGGAGACGTTTTAATTCATGCTTCAATAAGAGCTTTCCCTGAGAAAACACTAACTTACATTGCATCACCTCTCTTCATTTTGTGGTGATGACATGATGGCGGCACTCAGAAATCTCAGTAAGGGTCAAAGCTCCTTCTGTAATAGGTGTTGCAAGTACACAAAAAAGTGGTTCTTGTCAAAAACCAGCCCTCACTGAGGAGGATTTGATTTAAAGCACAATTAGCTGAGTTCCTCTGAGTTCCTGCTGTAATTAGTGGAAGCCAAGTCAACACAGTCAACTGAGCCATGAAAGCCTTTCCACTCCTGCACCCGAACAGCTCTCCAGGGTCCCCTTACATGTCCACCAGATCTCTGCTGACCACAGAATGAGTGCAGGCTCCCTAACATTCTTGGAAACACCTCCATGTGGGTGCCTAAATTTAGGTTTCCTACTTGGCAACCCAATCATTTCTGCAAGGCTCACAACCTAAGATAGGCCAGATTTTTAGTACCAGAGGTACTTTCTTTCTAGATCACTGCTTTTAAGCCTGTCCTCCTATTGCAGAAAGTTACTAGTTTAAAACCCACCCTACAGTGTAAGCATGGCCAAAGGACTTCTCCATATTGAAAACATCCAAGAGTTAATTCACTCGTTGCCTTCGCTGCCCGTGTGTGTTCCCCCTTGTCTAGACAGACTCAGCAAAGGGCTAACAAAAACTTCCAGCGATAAATCTCCCACAGTAACAAGTTTCAGAGGAAACCAGAGTCCCCGTGATGTGAACGTTATGGTCGAGTTGTTTAATTACACAGGTTCACTGGTTTGTTTAGAAATGGCGCTTTGCCAGGGCTTGCAGGGTCGGTTAATGAGCCGTGCTGGCTACGACTCTGCAACAACCATCAGTGGTGCCGCGGAGGTTAATAAGCTCAATCAAAGTGAGGGGCTGCCTGCCAGAGAGCCTGACTGATAAACAGATCCCGTTAAGCCTCCGTGGAAAAGCTTGTCTTCTCACCATTGCTCTCCCCAACTGTCCAGCTCCAGCCCTGATACAGCCAGCACGGAAACAGCTGAGTCAGCTGAGTTTTTCTGGACAGGCAGTCAAGTTGAGAGAGGAGAGCCAAGACTCCAGGGTGCATTTAAAGCAGGGGAGAAACTGAAGACTAAACACTGGTCTTCTTGTCCTCCTCACCTTACCCATGCATTCCACAGGTGGACCATGGGCATGGGCCAGCAGAGGTTCCCAGAGGTGCAGCTCTCCGTTGGGGTTGGAGGGACAGGGGCAGCCCGTGCCGTAATGGCATTTCCTGCTTTTTCAGAGGGGGGGGATCATGAGCTTTTGTCAGCACCAGTTTCCAGAAGGCAGTATGCCTACAAAACTGGTGGTCACACCCATTCTCCAACCTTCCCAGGACAATGAAAGTGTTAGCCAAGCCCTCCTGTCCCCCAAGTGCTTCCTCAATGCTTTCATGATGTTGGTGATTCCCTCTTCATGCTTCTTTCCTCAGGAGAAATGGGGTCTAGGGTTAATCAAACTCTGCTGTTCAGCTCAGAGAGCCGGTTTGCTTTGGAGCATGCGTTTCTCGCTGTTCCCATGACAGTGTGATGTTGCCAGATCTGTGCAAAACAAGATCTGGCTTCTGCTTCTTTGGCAAAAAAACACCAATT